CTCTCGGTTCCGCAGGCTCAGCCCTTGGTTCTCGCGCCAAACCAGCCCCCGTCGACCTTTTCGGCTCCAACCTCACCCCGAGTTGCCCCGAACCCATTTTGACCCCTTCACCCTCGGGACTATCGAGCCCTTGACTGGTCCAACCCTCGACATTCAACCCTGGTCAACACACCTTTATATTGCCTAGGCCTCATTATTATGGAACATTGTAATCACTTTCCCCTATAGTATTATGCGCTATACTCTGAGTTATAATTCATAACAGCTGATATCAAAGCTACGTTCCTACCCATTATGCTTCTGGTAGAGGAGCAGACCCTATCGGGGAAGGGGGCGGAAGGATGCTGATGGCGAGCGGACGTCGCGTGAACTAATTGCGCGGGCATTGCCGATGCCGTCAGATCATGTCTGATGGACGGCTGGGAATGGCCGGTCCTCGCCTTCCCTGGGCGTAGACGGAATTATTTCCCGTCGAAGAGTGGGCGACATTTTCGCTGTGTTTTTCGGGTATGTTTGTTAGACCTTTCGTAATTTTCGGGTGTTCAGACGGAGTCTTCGGATTGGCTTCTGAAAAAAAGTGAAGGCTTCGTCATGAGAAGACAAGTGCACGGGAGTCCTCAGGCGGCCGGGAGTTGGTCGTCAGGAGCACGCGGGGTGGCGAAAATGGCGGGATTTACGGCGATGTACGTCTGGTGAGCCATAAAGCTGCAGGGTAAACTGTAGCTATGTCGCGGGTCCCGGCGTTTCCAGCAAGCTAGTTGCAGGCGATGGACGAGACTTTGACACTATCTCGGCAATGGGCGGATCCGGCAATTTCGAAACGACACGATCGCATGAGGAAGTGTGGGTGTGCATTTGTGTGGGAGCAGCTGGGATTAACGACCTCGGCGCTATTCACCACGACGGCCATCTGGAGGTGATGACGCTGTGCTAGAGTGAGTGTACTCAGCGAGGGCGACTTCCCGCGTGGGGAGGCGTTTTTCGATTCATACCCCCACGATCAACGGAAACGGAGCCCACCACCCCTGGGTGTGTATTAATTTTTTTCCACCGGTCGCCGAATGTGTAAGCTGTCAGGAGTTGAAGCAGTGGGAGAAGAACGACGGGAGTACTGGAGCATATGGGTTAGCGGCGTTCGGGCTGCTACTCGCTCAGCTACATCGCCCGGAAATCACCATTCCCACTCGTTAGCAGTGTCGAGTTATTAATCGACGGCTTCTAGCTGAATAAGGGGGGTGATCCTGCGAACTACACTGTGCTGATGAAATGTTCCCAAAATGTTAGGAGTTACTGTTGCAGTGGAGCTGAGGGTTTTCACCTCGTACAGCAGAAGGAGGTTACGGCTTTTGCGGGTGTATTTTGGCGAGTTTCTGACGGAGGAGGGAGCTGTCCAGCGGTCAGTAGGTGAGCTAGTTGAAGCTCCTCTTACTAGAAGCGTGCGCACTCCTATCTCTGCGGATTCTACTAGTTAGTTAAGCAGCAGCGAAGCGGTTCTGGGTAACCTAAAGCAGTCGCGAGATGGGTGAACGTCTGCATGGCCAGCTGGCATGGGTACCAGAGTATTTTATACTTGGGAAACAGCTGGGCGGAGATCGACTGCGTATGATGCGCATTGACCCTGATCGACTGCCAAAACATCATGCTGAGGTGGTGGACTCCGGTAAACCCTAATATAAAGGGTTTAGTTCATGCGTACAGCTCGTGGAGAAACCGTGGGGGCGCTGCTAACGGACGCCGTGACGCCTGGGCATTTTTACGGGTAGATGTGAAGCGGAGTTACGGTATTTGCGAAGTACCGAGTGGTTCCGACATTTTTGGTGGTTGTGAGGAGCAGTTCAAGAGTTTACAGCTGGAGTTGTGCCCGCTATCTTCAAGGGTACGAGCGACATCGACCGACATTTGTGGAGTGTTTTGGTTGTATGGAGAGGAGGGAGAGCGATAGCTGTTTTGGTACTTTCCGAAAATTTCGGCGTGTACGGACAAGGAAGCTGATGCAGCTGGCGTCATTCGACCCCGGGTTTCATTCGAAGTTTTTCACTGGAGCGGGATTTGTATCGGTTACTCTCCATCGGCATCGTCATCAGCCTCTTGACATTACCCGCTACCGCCTCCATCATCAATTCGCATGATTTGCCCGACAGTGTGAACACGACCCCGCTGTCACAAGACTAGCTTAGCTAGGAAGCCATAAAATGGCATGAGGTTTAGCTAGGAGCTAGGAGGAGCCATGGAAATGGCGAGAGGTTTTAGGTGGTAGGAAAGTTGAGGAGAGAAAAGAGAATCAGAATAGAAGAGAGAGGGTACAACACCCCTCCTTATATATGTTAGTGTATAATTTAACACCCGCCGCATCATCGCCACCCATCAGGAGAAGTTTCGAAACGAAACGATTTTGGATGCAGTATTGTGGAGCTGTGTTGGGGCCAGCTCGCAAGCCGTGTTTGACTTCTGAAGATTTTTTGAGTTCGTGTGGGAGTTTTCCGAAATAGTAGCTTCTGAGTTTAAAAAAGTTCCAAGCGGTTTACCCTGAAGACAATTTATCTGGCGCGGATTTTGGAGTCATCATGATTCGCGTTTTTTAGTGGCTGGGATATATTTCAACGGCATCTTCGGAGCTGAGTGTGAGACTTTTCAGAAGCAATGTGGGATTCTTTTGCTTACCCTGAAGCATTGGGTGTCCCGGGGGTTCTACATGGGAAATTGGGAGCTGTTTCTTCTTAAAGAGGGGAGAAGTGCAGCTGCGCTGCAATTTTCCGTCAGACCTCGTGGTGTGTTCCATCATCTGTTACGCTTCCGCACCTGATTTTGTCCACCATCACGTTATTAGCCAGGCATCATTTCAAGATATTCAACTTCCACGCGCCATCATCAATCGACCACTCGACAGCTTCACTGTTCATTGTCTTCCGCTGGAGTATTTTGTCAACAAATATAATTGTTGTCTGAATGCTAGCTTAACTAGGAAGAAAGGCCGCCATGAAAATGGCGGCCAGAGGTTTAGTTAGGGGAGGAAAGTGTCGAGAGAAAAGAGGGTCGATTAGGAAGAGAGAGGGGTACAAGGAGGGGATTGTACCCTCTACAGTAAGGTTCGGTAACAACTACCAAGCCTATCAATTATATATAACTTATATAATCTTAACACACCCCATAGGCTTGGTAGTCACACACCCCCACACCCAACACCCACACACCCCCTAATCCCGTACACCCTCATGCTTGTGAACAGCCGGGTATCTAACCCTCGTGCTAGGCGATGACACCCCCGGACGAGAGGCAGCTGTCCGCGTCTGGGCGGCTTCAGCGACGACGGCGGTGGAGCACGTGCTCAAGGCGGCTGCGTCGAGGAAAGAAGGCGGCGACTGCGGCGGCTGAGGGCTCTTGGCGGTGTGGCACAACCCGGCGACGACCGAGCAGAAGACAGCAGCTGCAGCAGGAGCAGGAGGAGACGCAGGGGAGGGAGAGGTGGTGGGGCTGCAGGACTTCAGCGCAGCGCCATTGCTGGCGCGGCGCTTACTGGCGAGCAGGCGGGCTGCACGTGCAGCGGCTGCGGAGGTGATACGCGGCGGCTGCGGCTCGACGACGCCGCCGCGGCACCATTACGATGCCGCCACAGCGTGGCGTCGGTGCCGCTGCTGCTCGTCGAGGCTGAGATGGCAGGACTAAAAGGCCGCCATGGCATCACAGAAAAGATGCCACGGCGGCAGGCAGGCGGAAAGCCGCAACGGCGGCGAAGTAACAACGGGAATGCAGCGGAAGCGTAATGAGCAGGCCCGGGACGGGCGGCCTGCTCTGACACCATGTCTGAATGCTAGCATAACTAGGAAGAAAGGCCGCCATGAAAATGGCGGCCAGAGGTTTAGTTAGGGGAGGAAAGTGTCGAGAGAAAAGAGGGTCGATTAGGAAGAGAGAGGGGTACAAGGAGGGGATTGTACCCTCTACAGTAAGGTTCGGTAACAACTACCAAGCCTATCAATTATATATAACTTATATAATCTTAACAATTGTCTATGCTAGGTACAGTATATTTGTTATAGCCATAGTTAGGTCAGTTCTTAGAGGGTACATTCCCACCTTTGTAACCCTCAGTCTTCCTCCCTTAGTCACTTTTCTCTCGACATTCTAACATATTTACCCTTGCCCGTTTTGGTCAGCAGAAGTATTCGACCATCTTAGATGGCTAATATTAAAAACGATCGTTTCGACGCTTTCTGACCATCAATTTCAGTTCGACCTGAAGACCTCGTCAGGCCGGCGTAATCATTACTCTCGTTACATGGCTGAAGTCTTACAGTCACATCGGGGATTAACTTAGATAAAAAGGTTCGACCTCGATAAAGGGAGTGCCTTCCTTCAGAAGGTGGGAGAGTTTAAGGAATTAAGATTCCTTACTGGGGCTCACCACAACGAGTACACGCGAACCTCTCGGTTCCGCAGGCTCGGCCCTTGGTTCTCGCGCCAAACCAGCCTCCGTCGACCTTTTCGGCCCCAACCTCACCCCGAGTCGCCCCGAACCCATTTTGACCCCGTCACCCTCGGGAATATCGAGCCCTTGACTGGTCCAACCCTCGACATTCAACCCTGGTCAACACACCTATATATTGCCTAGGCCTCATTATTCTGAAACATTGTAATCACTTTCCCCTTTAGTATTCTGCTCTCTACTCTTAGTTATAATTCATAACAGGGTTGGTGTACGCGTTAGCGGTGTGGCGCGCTAAGGAATGGAAAATTCCTTACATAGGCGTACTGACCTATCTGCCCTCCTCCTGACACAATTCGAAAGACCGACTCTGATTGGCGGATCGTGCCTGCACGAACCACTCAGGGCTTAGGCAGGTACACCTGGGACAGGGAGCAAAGTCGGTGCGTACGAATGTGCGAACAACTGAACGAATCCAGCTGCGAAAATCCAATTTTCCCGCCCCACCCCACCGTATCGCACGACGAATTCCGATTCTCAAGGTCTCGCCCTAAATCCTTCAACCACAGTTACATGGACTTGGCAGGACATTACATTAGGTCACTCCTGTCATCATCGCGCCGTCATGCCACTGATATGTGACGACAGTCTCAGAGATGCGAGTGAAACGTGGTCGTACTATAGTGAGCAATAACGGGATCCACCACGTCTAGCTGTGCTAGTGCTCTTTCCGACCTCAGTCACAGACGCATCACTAATCATAAACTGGAAATTCTCCTGCGAGTTCTGGCGCGCAGCTCTCATGGCTACCATTAACCCTCGGCGCCAAAAGCCGGTGCATCTAAGTAGTGCCGCGACATCGCGATCGGAAGCAGATCCTCCCCGCCGCCCAACCTCCTCCGATCGCTCGTCCAGTTGCAGAATCCTCCTCAGCTCCTCCTCGACTTTCGGTCCATCGCCTTCCCCTCGTCGCCGTTGGTTTCCGCCGTCGGTCTACGCGCTCGGCGCGTTTCTTCTTCTGCTGCTGTCGGCGGCGGGACGCGTGTGCGTGGCGCAGGACGAGACCAGCGCGGAGCTGCGCTTCCTCGAATGGCTGCACGAGTTGGGCGGCAGAGAGGTGCGAGATTCGATTCGACACGATACGATACGATCGATGGGCAAGTGGGGTAGCAGATAAGAATCAGCATCAAGGGCGCATCGTGTTGAGCGGACAGAGTGGCTTGACTAGGCTAGCCATGGCGTCTGAAAAAGCCTATCTGGGCTAGTCGGAAGTGTGTAGTAGTTGCTACTGCTCTGACCATGGTGTCTCAAGTTCCCCTGGCCCTATTTCTGCCTGGCGTATCATGACTTTGCGACTTGCGTTTCTTTTCTCACGTCATCTCTTCTCCCCGCCCCTCTCTTCCCCCCAACAAACCCCCCCCCCCCCACCCCCTCCAGGTGCTTCCGCTGAGCGCCAAGCTGCGCATCAGCCGCGCGCAGGGCGGGGAGCGCGGCATGGCGGCGGCGGCGGACTTAGCGGCGGGGGAGGAGGTGGTGTCGCTGCCGTTTGCGGCGGCGATAGTGGCGGAGGAGAGCGACCCGGAGCCGTTCAAAGAGAGCGGCACGCACATGGTGCTCATGGCCAAGCTGCTAAGGGAGGTGAAGCAGGTGAGAGTGGGTGCGGGTGCGGGTGGGGGTGTGGGGGGGTTGGGGGTGGGTGTGGGGGTGGGGTGTGGTTGGGGGTGCGGGTACAGGTGCGGGTGGGGGTGCGGGTGCGGGTGGGGGAGGAGGTTACTCCATAACAACCTCAGCCCGTTAGAGATTGCGACATGCACATGGTGCTCATGGCGGAACTGCTGCAGCAGGTGGAATAGGTGAGGGAGAGTAAAGCGGGGGGTGAGGAGGAGGGGTGAAAAGGGGTGGGAAGGGGCGAGAGGGGCGAGAAGCCGCGAGAAGCAGAGACAAGCGGTGTCCGGTCCATCATACACAGCATCAGTCCTGCCCCATCCCCATCTACTCCACTACCTTTCCTCGCCCTCATTCCCCCTTTCCTTCCACCACGCGCCTATCAGTCCCTGGGGGAAGCCCCTGTCAATCCCCCGGCTCCTCCAGTATGTCCCCAATCCCCCATCCCCCCATCCCCCCATCCCCCTATCTCCCTATCTCCGTCCGTTTCCCCCCTTCCCCCCCCCATCAGGGCAACGAGTCCTTCTGGGCGCCCTTCACCTCCATCCTCCCCTCCTACATCCCCCTGCCCTGGCTGCCACTGCCTCAACACCGCACCACCACCACCACCACCAGCAGTACGGAAGCAGTGGCGGCAGCAGCCGCGGCCGGGATATGGGAGCTGCAGCTGCCGAGTGCAGTGGTGCGGGTGGCGGCCCTGGAGGCGTACATGCGGGACGCGTACGAGCGCAGCGACACCGCCGTCATGGGCGGGGCCAGCTACGCCGAGTTCCTCTGGGCCTTCGCCATGTACCTCACGCGCCACTTCTCCCTGCACCTGCCACCGAGGTAAGGCAGCAATATAGTAGTAGTAGGGCATTTTTTTTTCCCTGACTTGACTTCCTCTGGGCCTTTGCCATGTACCTCACAGGACACTTCTCCCTGCACCTGCCACCCAGGTGAGGCACACGAAGGATCCTAGCCGCCCCAGTTCTCCACCTCGTTCCCCTCCTACCCCCACCCACCCAACCCAACCCCCCCATCTCCCCTCTCCTCTCCCTCCCCTCTGCACTCCTGCCACAGAGACCCCAGGCGCCGCAGAAGCCATCGGCATGTTTCTACCATCGCTGACCCTGACATGTCGAACCCAAGTCTTGCAGCCTAATCAGCCTTCGTGAATCAGGACCTCAATTGCCCCCTGTACCTCCCTGCCCTCCCCCCGTCCTCCCAGCGACCCCCGTGGCACCATCAGCATGTTCCTGCCGTTGGGCGACATGGGCAACCACCGGTTCAGGGACGAGTGGGACGACGGAGACGTGGACTGGGTGGAAGGGGTCTACGCCGACAAAGCCGTGCTCGTGGCCCTGCGCCCAGTGAGGAAGGGCCAGCCCGTGTTTGAGACGTACTGGAACGGGCCCAATGAGGCCTTCTGTGTGTTCCAGGCGTTTCTGCCCGAGCCGAACCCGCACGACACGGTGACGCTGTTTCAGGGTATGCGGCATGGGGTGGCGTGGCTGCTGGGGTTTCTGCAGAGGGAGGGGCGGTTACCAGCTTCGGTTCTGGCTGGTTACGGTGGTGCTGGCAGTGCTGGTGGTGCTTCTGGTGGTTCTGGTTCGTCTGTGCCCATTCCTCGTGTGTTTGAAGACGCCATGCTGCGACTGGCAGTGGCAGCAGCAGCACAGGTGGAAGGCTCGTACGAGCAACACAACCACGGCACCACCGCCACCAGCACCAGCAGCAGCAGCAGCAGCAGCACTGATAGCACAAGCGACTCCCACCCCTCCTCCTCCTCCTCCTCCTCCTCCTCCTCCTCCTCCTCCTCCACCCACCACGTGGCTCAGGACCCCCAGGACGAGAGTGATGGCAGGAAATGGGCGCCCACAGCGCCACTCCCCCCGCTCCCTCTCGGCTTCTCGCTCCCCCCCGACGGCCGTGACTCCACTGCTATCTTTGATGCTCCAGAGGCGGTCACAGTGGGGAGGAGGTGGCGGGGCAGCAGACGCGCGCTCGCGGCGTTTTCTGCTGTGATCCGAGAGGTGAGAAGACTGGTGAAAGAGGGGGGTGGAAGCAGCAGCAGCAGCGGATGGGGGTGTACGGCCGCAGAGGAAGCATCCCTTGGCGCAGCAGCAGCAGCGCCGATATTCCTAGCGCAAGTAGCTCTAGTGGCCAGGTGCAGGGAGATGCTCCAAGGCCTGCCTACCACACTGCAGGACGACCTATCCCTGCTCGCTGGCGTCACTGGTAACATTGCAGACGTCACAGGAGAGCTGGCGAGTGCAGCAGGTGGGGTTGATGTGCGTGTTGGTGGTGGTGAGAGGGGGAAGCAGGGTGATGGTTGCAAGGGAGGGGGTGGAGGGAGAGAAGGAGAGGGTGGGGTGTGTGAATGGATGGAGAATGCTGATGCTGGTGCCAGCACCCAAGAGCCCAGCAGTACGAGTGCCCGTGGCAGTACCAGTACCAGCAGTGCCAGCAGCAGCAGCAACAGCAGCAGCAGCAGCGGCAGCAGCAGGGGGGGTGGCCTGTCTGCTGCAGCATATGAGCTTGCCCTGCGGTTCAGAATCGGCCAGAAGCGGCTGCTGTGGCACCTGGTGCACGAATGGCAGGGCGATTGATTGCACTGTGTGGTGTGGTACGGTGGTGGTGCTTGATTGGCAAAGGAGAAGCTTCAAAGAATGAACATGTGTGGGCACTGGCCTTGCCATAGTGGAGTGTGTGCGAAAGACTACCTACCTAGCCCCCGAAAGCATTGTTGTACTGGGAATGAGGTATCTTGTACCTACGAATATCTGACTCCGCCAAAAAACACAGGGCGCTAGGACGCGTTCTCACTTCCAGTGCAGTGTATGCTACTGCTCTCTACCCTCTCACTTCCGAATATCTTAAAGGTGTGCTTGGATGCAATGGGTACGCAGGCAGGCCACTTAACACCAGCCTATTAAAACGAGCTCATTCATTAGCATGCACATAGTAACAGCTTGCAAGCTACTCAAATGTCAAGAAAACAAAACCACTCAAAATCGGAAGTCGAAACTGGCTGCATAATCACATTCTGGAGCACCACGCACAGGTGACTAACCAGAATGGGATTATGCACCTGCTTCACACACACACTCATGTGCACAAGCGACACCCACACATGGGCAAGCTTATACTACCGCGCGGCATGGCATGGTGTGGCATGGTGTGGCATGGTGTGCCACATCTCACTGCACTCTCCCTCTCCATGCTTCCCCCCACCCTCCCGCTCATCCCCCACACTCCCCCCCCGCCCCCGGTCCCACGATGCCTCCTCCAGTATACCCTGCTGTGGTGAACTGCTGCGCCACAGGGGTTTGCACCTCACTGCTGCTTTCCATCCTGCTCCCACCGCTGCTGGGCACCCGATGCTTCGCCAGGGCAACCAGCCCCTCACACACTGAACTGCTGCGGCACTGGAGCCTCCAGCTCAGCACTACAGTCCTCCACACTGCTCAGCCCGCTTCCCCCCCCCCACTCACACTCGTGCTCCCACTGCCGTTGCGCTCTCGATCCATCGCCAGACCCACCAGCCCCTCATTGTCACTCCCATCCCCCGCCGAGCTGCTGCTGCTGCTACCCCCGTCGCGAATCATCTCCCCCTTGCACCCATCAGTCCCCATCTCCCCACACTCAACCCCCCCACACAGCCCCTTCCCACACCCCTTCCCATGCCCCTCCTCCATCCTCTCCTCCTCCCCCTCCTTCCCCTCCTCTCCCTTGCCCCCCTCCAACCGCTTGTTAAACCTCTCCACCGCAGTGTCGAACGGTGGGGGCCCAACGAGGGAGAGGATGACTGGGAGGGCGAAGAGCGCGTGCCAGAGGCCGAGAGAGACGATCATGGCGAACATCTTGAAGAAGGACTGGAAGACAAACGACTGCGCCACGCACAGCGGCAGCACCGCCAGGAACATGAAGAAGCCCCCGTTGAAGACAGCCACGCCTAGATGGGCCAGTGCTTTGTGTGCCCTCTCGTGCCGCGAGCCGATCTGAGGGGAAAGAGAGGGGGGGAGAAAAGGTGGTTGCAAGGTAAGTGTGGGGTCAAGACGCGGCATACGGCACGGCAAGGGAGGCTCAGGAGCCAGGGGGGGGAGGAAGGGGAGAGGGGGAGGGATTGCGAGGAGAAGAGGGGGTGCAGTGCAGTGCAGTGCAGTGCAGTGCAGCAAGCAGAGCCTGCCGTGGGCCAATCTTCGTGGAAAGATATGAGAGGGAAATGAAGGCAGAGTAGTCAAAGGCGACCCCCACAGCGAGACCGAGCAGCACGACCGAGAGACGGACGCGACCTAGTTGATTGACTGAACGCCATGCGTGACACCGCTTGCTTGCCACACTACTGCTATCCCGATGCACACACACATGCCTAGGAGCCCAGGAGAGCGTACCTGGGAGAGGTATGAGAAGGCGATGAAGGCGGAGTAGTCGACGACGATGCCCACAGCCAGCAGCACAGCGATGGAGGTGACCGAGTTGAACCCCATACCCGACCAGTACAGGAAGCCCACCAGCTCCAGCCCTATGAACGCCACCATGCCCGCCACCAGGATGCTGCGACCATGGGGGAAAGAGGGGGGGGGGGGGGACGAGAGAACAGAGCTTTCACTGTGAGACAGGAGGACTGAAGGGGGGACAGGCGCTGCCAATGCCAGTACAGGAAGCCCACCAGCTCCAGCCCTATGAACGCCACCATGCCCGCCACCAGGATACTGACATGATGGGGGAAAGGGTGGAGGGGCGAGAAAAAGACAGCGCTTGCACTGTGAGCTGAATGTGTAAAGGGGACAGGTGGTATCGAATCGACCCCTGCCTGACCAGTACAGGAAGCCACCAGCTCCAGCCCTATGAACGCCACCATGCTCGCCACAAGGATGCTGCAGAAAGGGGGAGAGGGAGGAACGGTAAAACGGGCAAGAGGATAGGGATTCCGGTGTGAGTTAACCTATGGAACGCGGGTCCAACATGACATCCATCCTCGTCGGAGCAACGTGGGTGCCATGCTTGGCATCAGGTACCGGTATGGTATTCAGTACTCGTGTGAGCGCAGCAGGCCGGGATGCCTTGCCATGCCATAGGCATGCCAGGGATGGCATGTGGGCATGTGTGCATGTGCGGATGTGTGCATCTGTGCATGTCTGCATGTGTGCATGTGAGCATGTGTGCATCTGTGCGTGTGTGCATGTGCCCATGTGCCCATGAGTGCGTGCATACCTGCAGGTCAGGTCAGCGAGCACGAGCAGCATGATGACAAACACCACAGCGCCGGCCACACCGACCGCCAGGATGGTGTCGTGCTGCAGCACGGCGTAGCCCTCGAAGAAGATGAAGAAGTACGAGTACGCGAATGCCTGGAGCGATGGCGCCGCGGCTGCCACCGTCTTGCGCGTCGACACCATGGCATCCACCTGAGGTGGGCGGATGAGGGGGGCGGCACCACCGGGGAGAAGGACATAGGGTGGGGTGGGGTGGGGTGGGGTGGAGAGGTCATGAGGGCTGAGGCGGGGGATGCAAGGAGAGAGAAGGTAAGCAGGAGAGAGAGAGGAGAGGGGGTGGAGAGATGAGAAACGAGGGTGGGGATGGGAGGCGCACCTGTGTTTCGCTGTAGACCAGTGCGTTGGTGAGGGCGAACATGCGCGAGGAGAGGATGACCGTGCCGTTGGACCCGGGCGCGAACACCACGTCGGGCTTGAACCGCTTGCCCATCAGCGTCCCCAGAAACTCGTGCAGCCATGAGTAGAAGAGGGGCGAGGTGGGCGGGCTGGAGGGGAGGACAGGAAGGGGGGAAGGGGGAAGGGGGAAGGGGGAAGGGGGAAGGGGAATGCGTATTGGTGGACAGGATAAACTCCATGTTCGGCAGGAAGCGCTTGCCCATGAGCGACCCGAGAAACTCGTGCAGCTATGAGTAGAAGAGGGGCGAGGTGGGCGGGCTGGAGGGGACGGGGCGTTGGGGTGAGGGGGGGGGGAAAGGATTTATGTGGGAGAGTGCATGTGATTTAGAGAGAGTGCATGTGAATGGGGCAAGCAAAGCAAGGGGGCTGCACCCGCACCACACACACCACGCAACGGAACGCAACGGAACGGTACGGTACGGTACGGTACGGAACTGAACGCAACGGCAAGAGGGGAAACGCACCGTCCTTGCGGCGTGAGGCTGCCCTTGTGCGAGGACGCGTTGAGCCACTTGAGGTACCAGTCGTACCACGACTGCACGGGCGGCGCCGACCCCACGTAGAAGTCGCTCTGCCAAGCACAGCACACATGGCGGCACGACCAGGGTAAGGGGGTGGGGGGAGGGGGAGATGGGGGAGGAGATGGGCGATGAATGGTGAGGGTGACTGGGCGACGGGATGAGCGGAGAGGATTCAGGCATGCTGTGGGGCAAATGCTTTTGAGTCGACTCAAAGGCAGATGAGGGATGAAGGGGTGACTGGGCGAGAGGATCAGGGGGAGGAGGATTCGAGATTTCAGGCATGCTGTGGGGCGAGTGTGATAAGGCGACGCAGTACTGACAGTGCGTGGCAGTGCCAGGTCTACCCGACAGCCCAGCCTCCCCTAGTAGCAGTACAAGCATCACTGCCCTTAACTATTTCCCCCGCCCTCCTATCCCCTCCCCCCTCCCCATTCCCCCCTCGGCGCACCTGCAGTGCGGCACTGAGCGCCGCGAGCTCGTCCTGGTAGTCGAAATAGTCTATCGGGGTGCCGCTACCGCCGCTTCCGCTGATGCCGCTGCCACTGATGCTGGGGTTTCGCGTGTACGCGTATACGGGGAGCGCGCCTTTCCCCGCGGACCGCGGGAACGTCGCGCGGCGCACCTCGAACACCTTGAACACGTACGCTTTACTCGGAACCAGCCACTCCATGTTAAAGTCGTTCCGCACGTGCGCCGCTCCGTACGCGCCCCACGCGACGAGCCCCGCCGTTACCAGCAACACCGCGATTTTCCCCACCGGGTGCAGGATCACCCGGGGGAGGTAGGACCCAATCACGGAGTGGAAAAAGTCCGGCTTTTCCGGGTCGTACTGGCGTCGGCAGCAACCGTCGTTAGGCCCAGCCGTGCTGACGACGCAGCAGAATACATCCATCCGCTTTTCCCGCTGCCGGAACATGTCGAGCGTGAGACACGCTACGAAGAACGTCGACTGGTAGATAAATACGAGGACCACTCCGACGGCCGCGTAGATCATGAAGTCTCTTAAAGCCGGCAGCTGCGACGAGATCCCCGTGCAGAACGCGACGAAGTTCGTCGCCGCAGCGACGATCACCCCGCGGCGCGCGCGCGACACGGTCGCGACGATGCGGTCCGAGATCGACGCGCCCTCCATCTCCTTCCTCGTGTCGTCGTGCGCCGCGAGCGTCACGAGCATGTCGTCCGTCCCTAGCCCCAGCAGCAGCAGCGCGAGGGATTGCGTGACCAACGAGAAGCCTAACCCTACGAGCGAACACAACCCGTACGATCCCAGCACGGCGAGCCCCACGGAGATGAAATTCGCGAAGGCGAGATGCGACTGAGAGTACACCGGATGCGGCTTGTGCAGAATCAGCATGCTGTACCCGATAAGAAGCACCGCGCTGACCCCCTGTAAGAACAGATCCGTTGTAAGCGCGCTGTCCGCGGCCGCCTGCTGCTCCCACGGCGAGAGAATATAGACATCGACGTGGGGGCTGGAGTACCCCTTAACGATGGGCGTGATGGCCTTTTGCCACGCCTCGACGTACTTATCGACGTCCCTGCTGCCGCGGCCCGGCTTGTTGTTCTGGAGGTAGAGCGTGAGCAGGTACGCGTTGGCGGCCGTGACTCTGCCCGTCGCGTTGTCATGCGTCATCTGCCCTATCACCCACTCCTGCGGTACGGGCTGCCCGAACCGCGACTGTGCGGGGCAGGGGAAAACGGGCGAGAGAGGGAGGAGGGAGAGAAGGGATGATGACAGGGGGAGGGGGAGGGGGGGCGGCAGAGAGAGAGAGAGAACGAGGGAGAGGGAGAGGGCGAGCGGGGCGGGGAAGAAGGGAGGTAGGTATGGGCCCCGAAAGAAGCCAGCAGCAGCAGCAGCAGGTCGTACCAGCACGTAGGGGCGGTTGAGCGTGCTAAGGATGTCGTCGTCCTCCTCTATCTTGGCCCGGTCGAAGCCCCAGTAGTCCAGCACGCTCACCGCCTGGCACGCCGTGCCCGCGCCGCCCGGCCGGTAGCAGATGCGCTCGCCCTCATAGTTGAACGTCGTCCCGTTGAACGTCGCATTCGTGCTGATGCGCGGGGGACGGGGGAATGGGGGGAGGGGGAACGACGGATGGGTTGGGGGAGGAACTGCGCGCGGATACGGGAAATGAGGGGATCATTCGGCCGGTAGCGATGACAGCGGCGACAGCGACGACAGTAGCGACAGTGGCGACAGTGGCGACAGTGGCGACAGTGGCGACAGTGGCGACAACGACGACAGCTCACCTGGTGACGAGGTTGTAGACATCGAGCAGCGCGAGCAGCGCGTGCTTGGTGAGCACGTTATCCACCGTGTTGCCCTTGCCCGTCACGTAGATCTTCACGTCCAGCTGATCGTAGCCGTACACGCTGTCCACGTAGTCCTGCACGCCGTGGCTCAAACGACGAACATCGCGCACGGAAATCACGAGCACCGTTACAAGCACAGTTCATTTAAGACCCACCCGGGACGGGGCAAGCGCGAGACACGAGGCGAAAGACTTGGCATAACAAACTACCAGCGCACCGTACGATACGTGACGGTAGAGGTATCGTACCCGATGCGCGAAGGCGATGTTTCCCTGCGGCGTGTACAGGTCCTCGACATTGGTAACAACGGTGAGGCGTAACATGCCGAGCCCCAGCAGTAACCCGACGCCCACCGTCGTTATCACCACGGCCAGCGGACGCCTCGCGACGAATCTAGCTATCACGCTGAAAAACGCCATAAGCCCGTAATCCACGGCCACCCCCAGGTGCCGTAAGATGCTCCTCCGCGGCCATCTTCGGCACTTCTCGGGGTCCTTCCCGCAGGATTTTTTGTCCTCTTTTGTGGGTTCTTCGCTGCGGAGAAATGAATCTCCACGCCCGAAGGATGGGTCTGCGTCCGCCATTCCTCCCCCCCCCGCCGTCGTTTGTGATGGTGGCGGAGATTCGGAATGGAGAAAATAGAATAATACAAGCTTGCACGAGTCAACACACCCTCGCTTTTGGATGTGCTATGGTCAAGGGGAAAGAATAACTAGCGTCCTTCGCGTTCGCGCTCTTCTAGTAAGCCTCGATTTGAGTCTTCTATAAGAGGAGAGGAGTGAAATCTATGAGATTCAGGGGAACGGTTGGCGGAAGGTTGAAGCTGCAGCAGTAACCTGATGAGCCACCCGGCTTGGCTCTCGTTCGTCAAGCGGAGTCTTGTGGGCAGTCTCGTTGTCGAGCTGCACCGGAGGCTGCTGCTGTTGGATGCAAGTGACTGCACAGCCACCGCAAGGTTCTAGACTCGGATGCGGAGAAAACGGGCTGTGCTAAGGAGAGGCGAATTTCCCCCTACCCCTGGATGTGTAAACCGTGTTCTGCAGAGTGTGTGGTGCGAGGAGTCATCATGAATAAAGGGAGTTACGAGTTGCATACTGCTGTGAGTCAGTGTGGTGCTGTGCGTCTCTCTCTCGCTTTGCTGCTCGTCGACGCTAGCCTCTCTCTGCCACCCTTAGGAGTTTCAACTCGACCCCAATACAGTACCACTAGGCTCAACGCGTTTCGTTACAATTTCCCAACATCGAACCAGCCAGCCCAGCCCGCTAGTTGCTTTGCTTGCAGTTGTCCAAATCTTCTCCCGACATTTGATGCCATGCCACCCTCCCCCTCCTTTCCTTCCCCCCTCCCCCTGCCGTCCTCCCCTCATCCCTCCCCCTGGTTCTGACAGGCAACTCGGGTAGGCCCAGATTGCGAGCTCGACTAGGCCGTGCTCGCCCCTACTATCACGAGCAGGGAAGTTACATCAGATTCCTTTTCAGGGTCGATTCAAGACCTCTGGGTCGCGACGTTAGCGGGTTGCAAGGCGATTGAATTTTGCAAAAGTGTCATAATTCATCCATCATTACGCTGCGACCCCGCTGTGATCCCGACCGACCCTCGCCTTAATGTACCGCGCCCTTGTTGCCGCGCTTCTGAAGAAGGGCCGCGCTACCCTTCCCCAATCTTCAGAATACTGTACAGCTCTTTCCTCCCCCTTCTCCCTACCTCCGCGCTTCACCCCCGACCAAGGTCGTGGTGGCGCATGAATGTCGCCTCTGGATCATGGCTGCGCGGTTCCCTGCCTGCGGCCCACCGAAATTCTGCCTCGGTCGGTGGTGGTCTCGATGAGGACATGAACGGCTTAGATGCTGTGTGACTTCTGCTACGCAACGATACTTGGGTATGATGGAGGCATGATTCTACAGGACAAAATTGCCTGTGTCTACCGCGTCGCGGGACGCCGCCGCAGTCGAAGTCGGCGGGACGCTTGTTGGTCCTTCGTCGCCTCGCGCTGGAAATATCGACCAAAACCTCAAGCCAGCTCGTTCAGAAGGAAAAAGGAGGAAGAATTGAGGGGGAGAAGCAGAACCGCGCCGAGAAATCGAGTTGCAGTAGGCTTGCCCGCCGAAAATAGTTCAAGCAAACTCCCCGGCAAAAACGCTGACAAGGGGGATGAATTGGAGCGCCACCGAGTCACCGACCAACACTGCAGACCGGAACCGAACCATGATACAGTATCTTTTCACGGTTACGCTGGCACCCATGCTGTAGGCATCAGGTATGTGTTATGAATTAATCAGAGTAATAACGGGTAGTGTAATAAAGGACTCTTAATTCAAGTGTCAATACAAATGAGGGCCTAGGCATTTATAGGCATGAACAGAGCTATCCAAGAACCACGCGAACAGGTTGGGGTGGTCCGGTTGGCGAAAGCCATGGAAGCGCCGCGCGTCTAGGTTTGGGTTAACGAAATGGTCCGGGACCGAAGAAGTTGGCCGAGCCTGGACTTCCGAGAGTTGATAGCGTAAGAGCTGTAATCGAGCCCAGTAAGGAAAAGGGAATTTCCTTACAGCATGAGTGCGCGGCTGCCTAGCATTGGTAACCACAGCAAATATACTAAGTACACTATGTAGGAGTTAGAAAACGAGTGAGGCTAGGAAGCTATGGCCGGAACGCGAGGGTTTAGCTAGAAGAAGTTGACGAGAGAAAAGAGGGCGAGAATAGAAGAGAGAGGGATACAAGGAGGGGTGTTGTACCATCTACAGTAGGTTTTAGTAACAGCTATCAAGCCTAAAATTATATAACAAATATATCATTTAACACTCCCCCTAGGCTTGGTAGTGGCAAGCCCACCCGACATGCAGCACCCCCATGCCCTGCAGCAAGAGCGCCAGTCCAGCGCGGCCGACATCTCCATGTGCGAGGCGGCGACGTCAGCGTCGAGGGCTGCGGTGGCGGCAATGACGACAACAGCGACGGTGGCAGCGTGCGGCGGCAAAACGGGCCAGCGGCAGTGGCGGCGGCTTCGACAACAGCGGCGGCGTGGCCGACCATCGAGACAGTGGGAAGATTCCCGCGAGTCAGCCGTCAGCTGCAGCAGGGACGAGGGGACGGAGTTTCAGCAGCGGAGCCACGGAGCAAACCGCCCCATGTGGCACGTTGGCTGCATGCGGGCACCAAGCGTGCTGGCCGGCGCTAAACCAGCGCCCTGGCCACAGCCGTCCGTCGCCATGGCACGACGAAGGCGTTCCCATAACAGCGCGACGAGGCCGCCATCTAAACGCGGCAGGACGAGAAGAAGTATGCAGCGGAAATGAAAGACGAAGGTCCAATCCAACAGGATGATCCTACTCTGGCACCAAGTTAGAAAACGAGTGAGGCTAAGAAGCCATGGCCGGAACGCGAGGGTTTAGTTATGAGAAGTTTGTCAAACATGTGTATTTGTCATGTTTGTATAGACTGTATAGGGTTACCTCTTAGAGGGTACAACACTTAGGTATATTTGTGTGTACTCTCACTTTACCATTAATTAACATTTCAATTCTGATATGGTATCACGCGTAGGTAGGATCCCCCCCACCTACCGCTTCCGCTCATGCCCCCTAGCGCCCCTCCTGGGCCCCGTCGCGCTCCTCCCAGGCTCCGTAGCGCCCCGTCGCGCCCCTCCTGGGCCCCGTAGCGCCCCTCCTGGGCCTCGTCGCGCCCCTCCTGGGCTTGGTAGCGCCCCTCCTGGGCCCTGTAACGCCCCTCCCAGGCCCCCTAGCGCCCCTCCCAGGCCCCGTCGCGCTCCTCCCATGCCCCCTAGCGCCCCTCCTGGGCCCCGTCGCGCTACTCCCAGGCCCCGTAGCGCCCCGTCCCGCCCCTCCTGGGCCCCGTAGCGCCCCTCCTGGGCCTCGTCGCGCCCCTCCTGGGCTTCGTAGCGCCCCTCCTGGGCTTCGTAGCGCCCCTCCTGGGCCCTGTAACGCCCCTCCCAGGCCCCCTAGCGCCCCTCCCAGGCCCCGTCGCGCTCCTCCCAGGCCCCCTAGCGCCCCTCCTGGGCCCCGTCGCGCTCCTCCCAGGCCCCGTAGCGCCCCGTCGTGCCCCTCCTGGGCCCCGTAGCGCCCCTCCTGGGCCTCGTCGCGCCCCCCCTGGGCTTCGTAGCGCCCCTCCTGGGCCCTGTAACGCCCCTCCCAGGCCCCGTCGCGCCCCTCCCAGGCCCCGTCGCGCTCCTCCCAGGCCCCCTAGCGCCCCTCCTGGGCCCCGTCGCGCTCCTCCCAAGCCCCGTAGCGCCCCGTCGCGCCCCTCCCAGGCCCCGTCGCGCTCCTCCCAGGCCCCGTAGCGCCCCTCCTGGGCCTCGTCGCGCTCCGCCCAGGCCCCGTAGCGCCCCTCCTGGGCTCTGTCGCGCCCCTCCTGGGCCCCGTCGCACCCTGCCCGACCCCGTCGCAGCCGCCAGGCCCCGTCGCGCCCGCCCGGCGCCGTCGCAGCCGCCCGGCCCTGTCGCGCCCGCCCGGCGCCGTCGCGCCCGCCCGGCCCCGTCGCAGCCGCCTGGCCCCGTCGCGCCCGCCCGGCCCCGTCGCAGCCGTCCGGCCCCGTCGCCCCCGCCCGGCCCCGTCCCACCCTGCCCGGCCCCGTCGCAGCCGCCCGGCCCCGTCGCACCCGCCCGGCCGCCGTCCCGCTCGCCCGGCCCCGTCGCACCGGCCCGGCCCTGCCGCACTCACCCGGCCCCGTCGCCCCGGCCCGGCCCCGTCGCGCCCGCTCGGCCCCGTCGCGCCCGCTCGGCCCCGTCGCCCCGTCCCGGCCCTGTCGCACCAGCCCGGCCCCGTCGCGCCCGCCCGGCCCCGTCGGGCCAGCCCCGGCCCCGTCCTCCTCACTGGTATGGTTCCCCCCCACCCCGCCCTGCTCCGTGCCGCCCCGCACCACACTGTACTGCCTGGCACCGCACTACACTGCACTACACCGCACTGCACCGCACTGTACCGCACTGCACCGCACTGCACCGCACTGCACCGCACTGCACCGCACTGCACCGCACTGCACCGCACTGCACTGCCCTGCACTGCACTGGACTGTTCCTGATGGCGGCGGAGCTTCGCTTCGACGCTGAAGGTCCGCCCCTAGAGTTCGAGGCGTGGCTTGCCCACCTCCGCCGTCAACTCACTGGCCAGCGGCAGGATGGTGAACCGCTTTCCGCACACCTTGACGGTACGCTCCCCTGCCCAGACCCCCCTGCTATTCTGCCCGCTGACCCCACACCCACAGAGCGTGAGGCTACTGCTGCCACTGCCCGTGCACGCTCTGTCTGGCTTTCTCGCGATGCTGTTGCCCAGCTTGCCATTAGCAACGCCCTTCCCCCATCCGAGCGTCCTCGCTTTAGGTCCCTCACTACTGCTCAGGCATACTTAGATGCTGTGATCAAGCGCTATTCCACCCCTCCGGCTGCCTCGGTGGGTCGCCTGATCCTTCCGATGCTCTTTCCTGACCTTGCATCTTTCCCCACTGTCTCTGACCTCGCTGCCCACCTGCGCTCGATAGATGAGACCTGGCGCGCTGCCTGCACTGACGCCCAGCTTAGAGCCCACCAGCCGCCCATTACCTCTACCCTCTACCTGCTCGCCACCCGCCTCCATGACCGCCTTGCTGTCGCCCGCGACCGCTTTCTTAGCGTTCACCCCGCAGACCTCACCCTCACTGACTTTGTAGACACCCTGACTGTGATAGAGACCCGTCGTGCCGGTCCCTATCTTTCAGGGTTGTGCCCCCGCTCAGTGCACCTTCTCCGACGGCTCTGCCGCAGTGGCTGAGACTGCTGCTGCAGCGCAGGTCCGTTCGGGGAAGGGCCGCCGCCCCAAGGCTGGCCGTGGTGGAGGAGGCGGCGGGGGTGCGGGCGGGGGTAGTGGTGGGGTCGGGTCGCCTGGTGCTGGAGTGGACGAGGGGACCCTGCCCAGTTCAGCTGAGTCGCCGCCCCTGCAGGTGCAGCAGCCGCAGCAGCCGCCGCAGTCGCAGCCTTCGCAGCAGCCGCAGCAGCCGTCGCAGACGCGGCAGACGAGTGTCCTCCCGCCAGGGTGGCCCGGCGCTGGCGGTGGCCGGGCGCGTGGTGGTGTGCCGCGTG